AGATGGGTCCAGGTGAATGGGGGACAGGGAGCCAGTCCTCAGCCGCTGCTAGCTGGTGCCACTGCATTGAAGTCAGTGGAGGCAGCGAACGATTTGGGCCTCAGTTTTCCCCATCTGTACACTGGGGATAAAAGCCCTGTCTCTCAGGCGGGCTGGGAGGCTCAGTACAGGAAAGAGGGTTAGGCCTTGGTGAAAGGCAGAGATCGGTGGCTAGTCCTGATGGACACTCGCCCCTGCAATTTCAATGTGGCCTTGTTAGAAGCCTGCCTGCTCCTGGCTTATTTTTAATTGGTCCTAAATCTCTCTCTCAAAGGCACCTACCAGGATGGAGGGCAGAACTTCCAGGAGTGTGGAGAGCAGGGTTCCCTGTAATCTGTGTGCTTGGGCGGCCACCCGGGAGGGATCCCCATTTCACCCAGCTGATTAGCAGAGCGCCCTCAGAGCCCACAGCTGCCAGCATGTGTTTCCATTGGTGGTGCACATTCACCCATGCCTCAGTGCACATCACAAAATTTATTCCACACGTGGATGGAAAAAAATGTGAGCGAATATTGGTGGAGAGAAATGGCGGGGGACGGGGGGGAGAGGGGCAGAGCACAGGCTGCTGGACTCCGAGCTGGGTTCTGTTCTTGCCTTCCCATGTCAATCCTGGGCCTCTGGCTGCTCCCCTGCCTGGTCGTGGTGCCCACTTGCCTTCAGGATTGACGGGCTCAGGACTGGACCCTCACATTGTGACCCACAAAGTCCCAGAGTCACCCCTGGGATTTTACTGGTGCTGTCCCTCCACAGCTGCTGGCGGCTGGGGCATCCCAGATGCCCTGGCCACAGGCAATGCGAGTAGGGTGATGAGGTATCCCACTATTAGGGACTTGGCTTATAGAGGCAACTCTCCGCCCCGAAACAAAAGGGGTCCTGATTCCTCACCCCCGCGCTCTGGCCACCCTGGGACTGGGGGGAGTACAGTGTTGCCATGCAGTGTGTGGGGAGGCTGCCTCCCTCCCCTCTCTGCTTCAAGTTGCAGCTTTCCTTTAATATGATTACAGGCGCTTTTACAGAACCCGTCCCGGCCATGGCTTATAGAGGCAACTCTCCGCCCCGAAACAAAAGGGGTCCTGATTCCTCACCCCCGCGCTCTGGCCACCCTGGGACTGGGGGGAGTACAGTGTTGCCATGCAGTGTGTGGGGAGGCTGCCTCCCTCCCCTCTCTGCTTCAAGTTGCAGCTTTCCTTTAATATGATTACAGGCGCTTTTACAGAACCCGTCCCGGCCACCCCACCGAGTTAATCCCATGGCTCTGCTTTAACCCTCCCCTCGCGGGCTGGCTTTGCTCCACATGGGAGCAGGGTGGTGTGTTCGGTGGGGGG